TAGGTTTAGTCCTTAAATTTAGGTTTCTTGTAGTTTAGTCCCCGAACTTTTTAATTTAGGTGTATTTTTTATTTGGTCCTCGCAGTTATGCATGATGTTTCATTTTGATTATTTGATTCAATTATTGGATAAAATTGGCTAGGATGAATAACTGTAGCCTCCATTTTAGTTTAATTTCACTATGGTCCTTTAATTTAGGTGACTTTTTTATTTGGTCCTAGCATTTATATATGAGGTTCCATTTCAGTTATTTGATTCATTAATTGGATAAAATTGGTTAGGATTAACGATTATATCCTCCATTTTAGTTTAATTTCAGTTTCGTCCTTTAATTTAGATGAATTTTTATTTGGTACTCTCATTTATGCCTAAGTGTCCATTTCAATGATTTGATCCAATAATTGGTTAAAATTGATCAGGGTAATATTAAAATCTTTACCTTAGGTTTAATTTCACTTTAGTCCTTTAATTTAGGTGAATTTTTATTTGGTCCTCACATTTATGCCTGAGGTTCCATTTCAATTATTCGATTCAATAATTTACTAAAATTGGTTAGGATTATTAATTAGAGCTTTGATAAGTGTTCTATTTATTTAATATTTTATTATTAATTAATCTATTTTATAGTGCTAATTTGGGTTATTTACATAGATTCTATATAGGATTCTACTTTTCAAAGAACAACAATTAAAGAAAAAATTAAAGCAAATTTATCCTATTTGGGAGTAGTCGGCGCCAACTCAGATTGAAAGACCAAGTTAGGTGCCAACTCTAATTAAATAATCCAGTCAGCAAGATCAAAGAAGAAAAGAAAGGAGAACCACAATTCTTTAGGAATTAAAAGTTGTAATTAAATTCAAACACTTTAGATTTTATTATTTTATTTATATTTTATTATTTGTATTAGGAATTTTAGTTTACTATTAATTAAGAATTTTAATGTAATTAAGAGTTAGTATTCTATTTTCATTAGGTTATCTCAAAGCTATAAATACCCTCTAGGGTAAAAGCTTGAGAGATGTACAAGTTTAAAAATTAGTATAAAACTGATTTTGGCTTTTAGGTTTTTAGTTCAATAAAATTATTTTCTTTTTCATATTTTCTATCATACTTGGCTTAACTTTTTCTTAGCCGATAGTTGAGCTACGATTCAATTTGATCTCGTGAGAAATGCAAAAGCGCTTCATATCTTCAGATTCTTTCTTGATTTTTGGCAGACAAGGAGAGGCAATCAACATTTTCTTTAAACATCTCAAAAGTGTCAATCCAAATAGTGCATGTTGGTTTGATTGAAGTTGTGATCTACAGTTGAGGAGGAGAGTCAGCTTGTAGCAAATTCAATTCCCTAAGAACAAACTTAGCGAAGGTCCTCTAAGGGAAATCAAGATCGGGTTTGATTCTCATTGGGACACCATAATCCCAACAAAGGCTTTTCCAGCAGTAAAGAAAGAATTGACGTTAAAATCAATAGCCGTTGTTAATCCAAAAAAGGATTAAATTTCAAAGATTATCTTTCAGAATTAATTCACTTGAGAGAAGAGTAAGTTACAAGGATTGGGCCTTGTAGACAGTAATCGGCAAGCATTTGAAGCAAAACTTATTTCAGTGATCACGACAGATTGAGGCAAAGCAAAGTTGGAGGCTATTTGTCATTATAATTAATTTTTCTACAATTTACTTTTCTTTTTTAATTGCTTTCGTTAATTTAATTTACTTGATTATTTTAAAACCCTCTCTTTTTAATTATTTTATTTTAAAGCTTTCTTTGTTCAAGATCAAATCAGATTTAGAAATTTTCGAATCCTTGTGGACTGACACCATTCTTCCCTATTATGCGTTTTTAGCATAATTGTCTAACAAATATGATTAATTATTTGAAAATTACGACGCTTGTCAAAAAGCATACATTTTAGGTTTAGTCCTTTATGTCTTTATAATTCATAATATTACACTTTAGTTAGAGGGAAGCCTTAATTAACCCGCTTAGTATAATTAGGCTCAATAATGGATTATTTGATTGCATTTCGATTTCAAAATAAGGCAATGTTCATTTATTAGGGGATTAATAATGTATCTTCCTCTTTTTCCCGGGGTGACCACTATTGATTCCAAAAGTAAATTGCCATCCTTTTCAAAACCCCGTGTCATATTTGTTTTTAAACTATTAAGGCAATGTTCATTTTTTATGATGGATAACGAAACATCCGCTTGTGCTCAGGGTGGTCGTTATTGGTCTTGGTAAATCAACACCCTTTTTAAAATTTGCATACATAGTAGGTTTTAAATTAAATCAAAATTTGAAATCAAAATTTTTCAATTTTAAAACATAGGGTAATCGACTAGGTACTAATTTTTGGCTTTGTGAGGGTGTTAATCATTCTCTACGCGTAACTAACTTCAGAATCTGATTAATATTTTACATACCAAATTTGATTAGTTTTTAAAATGATTGGTGGCGAATCTCATCTTTTCATAAAACTTTATCAAAAATACCAACATTGAATCGGGCCTCAAAAGCCGGTTACGACAATATGTAAATAAAGCTTATTTTATATCCAATCCAATTTAAAAGAGCAAACGAACTTCGGACCCATGTTATTACAAAATCGCAAAAACTACCATCCAAGAATGAATACAAGATTTTAAAGCTATGGGGTGAACTTAAAAATATTAGGAATAAACATACTTATAAAATTTTAAAGGACAAAAATCGGATTTTCAATAAAAATAAAAATAAAATATTTAAAATATAAATTTTAGGGTGCAACCATCTCCAGCCATACCTCAATCCATCCCTGCTACTATTACTATGAAAAGGGTGATCAAACTCCAAAGCTTCATCGACACAATCCTCCCACACAACTAAAACATGGAGCACACACTTCCCCCAGACCTTGAGCAGTCGAACAATGCCAGTGGACGCTGATGTCCATAATTCTTTTAATCCTCCATTTTACCTTCGCAGAAGTAACATAAAACAAAGAATGAAATCCCAAAACCAGAGTGTGGGGAGAAGGTGTCTGCTCCATGTTTTATCTGAACGAGGATTCAATACCAAAAAGCTAAACAAAGAAGATTAAAAAAGGAGAAGAATCCAAAAACTGATCTGGGCTTTCAGAGAAATTTGAAAAGGACGAGATTTGGCTCACGAGAATTCAAAGGATTCTTTAAAAAAAAAAAAAAAAAGAGAGAATTCAAAGGAGGAAATGCTCACCTACCGGCTACCACTACTCTCGTAACCCGGAAAGTATTGAGCAAAAGGATATACATTTGTGACCAGCTTCCATGAACCATCCTCTTGTTCTTATTTTTAAAATAACCAACTTGTTTTTGTCCAAATTAGAAAAAAAATAACCAACTAGTTGTGTACATATATTATTTTATTACTTGAAGGTGGTTTGTTTACATTTATTATTTATTTTATTAATCATGACTGGTTTGTTTTACCTATGTTAATATGGGGTTGTTAGTTCTCTCTTTTCTATATATAACTTTATGAAATAATAAAAATAAAGTATATAAATAGTTGTTGGATTATGCGAAAATTATGTAAAATAAATATTAAATTTTAGATCTCATTATATAATAGGAATCATGTCATTAATTTACCTTTAGTTGTTATTTGTAAGATGACTAACACATTGAATTAATGAAAAATATCTTGTTTAATCTATCAACGGTAATTAAAACTTTATTTTAATATTTTAAAAAATTATTTTAAAAAATTATTAATGACCCTACATATTTATTAATTTTTAGGCTCCTTAGTATAGAATGAAGCTCAATTTTACTAAACTAGATATAGCAAATATATACACGACGCAATGCAGCTACCAGACCATACAGTTAATGACAAATGTATAACAGTACATTAAAAAATTTAACGAAATAATAACAACTTTTGTAAATGTCAGCATCACACTAATCACACACACTAATATTCCCCCTACTTCATCAAGTCTCAATAGCAACAGTACCTGCCATATTTATCTTCTCTCGAAAAAGAGGAAAGTGCCACATATAGCTTCTCCTGAAAAAGAGGAAAGTGAGACTTGGAGAGAGGATTAGTGAAACATCAACCAGTTGATGTTGTCTAGGAACATAGTCAAGGCATACAATATCATCAACAACGGTTTCACGAACAAAGTGCACATCGAACTCGACATGTTTGGAATGCGCATGAAAAATCGAATTAACACTCATGGCAACAACACTTGAACTATCACTCCAAATAATAAGAACATCAGCACAAGAAATACCCATATCACCAAGAGAGCACGAAACAAAACAACTTTAGACACTATGACACAAGACTATCATCGAGAAACAAGCAATAACTCGATACTGACCAATGATTATCAAAGATACTTTCCCAAACTACATTCGAAAAAGCCCAAATAGATAGGAAAGTTTTTGTAGAAGCACAAAAGACCAAACCATAGTTAATAGTGCCACTCCAATATTGCAATATACATTTAGCGGGTAACAAGTGAAGCTCACACGACTGATGAATGTATTGAGCATCTCTACCAACACTATAAGTAACATCGATCTATTATGACGAAGATAAAGTAAAGCTCCAACAATACTTGATAATGTTGAGGATCATCAAGAAGTCAACTCGCCTCTTAAACCAATTTGGGTGAAAAAATCATAGTTGATCAAGAATCAAACTTATCCATTCTTTTAAGAAATTCACGGATGAACTTGAGTTGGCTTAACTTCAACATTCCTTCACTTCAAACAACTTCCATACCAAAAAAGAAATTTAATTCCCCAAGATCCTTCAATGAAAAACTCGTTACTAAGTAACCGCACCACTCCCTCAATCAACTCATCAGAACTACCTATAAAAACAATGTCATCAACATAGACGATAATAAACACAAATTGAATACCATTTTTTGAACAAACATAAATGCATCAACTTGCGTTCCTACATGTGGCGACGCTAAACGCAATGGGCATAGTAGCCAGTGGATATAATATCACAAAACGCAATGGGCATAGTAGCCAGTGGATATAATATCACAAACGGTGAAAAGAAGTCGCCGTGCATGGTGACGGCTTTCACATATGGCGGTCCTCGAGTCGGAAACGATGGTTTGAACTTTGAAGAAAGAATTTAATAGGCTCGTTGATCATCACCATCTTCGTCTTCTACGAATTACAAATGCCAATGACCCGGTCCATAAGGTGCCTAAATTAGGCTACAGTCATTTTGGAAACGAGTTAAAGATTAACACCAGCAACTCACCGTATTTGAAGTGGAGGTGGGTCGGGAGTTCATCGCATGTTAGCCCAGAGTTTGTTCCGAGTTCAGATGAAATAAATATGGAGGAGGAAATGGTAATAAAAGGAGGGTTGGGTGAATATGTTAGTTCTCACAGTATGGACGTGTACCTACATGGAATTGCAGGGGTACAAGAAGAAGGGACTGAATTTTGTCTTCAAGTTGACCATGATATTGCACTAGTAAACAAGCATTTGGACCGACTCAAAGATTGTTACGGGATTCCCACTGATTGGTGGGAAGGTGAGAATCGCAAAAAAATGGTTCAGAGGGACGATGGCCGTTGGGAGGTTATAACACCTTAGTACCTAAAATATGGAAATAAAAAATAATAAAATAAACAAACTTGTTTGTCTTGTTTGAATGGATCTAGGAATTTAAGAAAATTTGTGTTTCTAACTATTATTATCCAATAGTAAAGCAAAGAGAAAATACGAAAATATTGTTGGTTCATTTTCTGTTTAATCTCTTGACCAATCTATAAGATTAATTAACGTTTCATCTAAACATCATCAAAACGCAATTCTAAACCTAACTCTGACCCTGCAGGATTAAAGCATAAACAAATAAATATAATTATTTAGTTGATGACAATCGACATCGTTAAAAATTATTTAGTTATAGATTGATACTGTAAATGTGGGCTTTTTACGTCTCTTATATGATTTAAATCTTAATAATAAATCAAAGGTTAAATTTATAGAGTCTTCAAATTTTAAATTTAGATGATTTGATCGAAAAACTAGAGTTCAATATAAAATGTATATTATAGAAGTAAAAGAAGAGTCGCGAGGTGCCTTGAATGGTTCTTTAACCTCGAAAGGGACCTGCTTTTGAATAATTCTTCGTACGGGTGTGACGCACAATTTTATGTTAAAAAAGTTTATTATATAAATATAGAATATTAATATAAACTATAAAAAAATTAAGATATATAAAAATTTAAATTTTTAAAGAGATTGTATCGTCATTCTATCCTCGATCTACCTTTAGGTGCTGTGGTTGAGTGGTTAAAAACGTTCGTCAACCGTTAGGCTCGAGATCAAAAATCAGTAATTGAAATTTTCAAGCCATATTTCTCATTTATAATACGGTAAATAAAGTACCTATGAAATATAGGTATATAGCTGTTCCCAAGCCTACGATGGTGTGCTCAGTGTTAAAATCGGTGCAAGGAACACCAACGTGATTAATTCAAGTGATAAGTAGTTTGATATCGCTTAAGTAAAGTTTTAGGTTCGAAACCTTGTATATGAAAAAAATCTCTGTTGAGAGATTCACTCACTAAAATTAGGTGTGTGATGCGGTTTGTGTGAATTAGTCAGGATGAAACCTTGAAATTAAGAGGACAACAAAGACAAAGGGTTTAAGGCGATAAGAGTTCTATTGTCAAGGCACAATGTGCGTGTCTTATTGAAGTAAGGCACACTTTTTGAAAATAAAAGATATAAATGTTTTTTCCAGTTATATAGTCAAGTAAAAAGAACAATTCATGCAATGTAAACACCAAAGAGTATTTATCATCAACATTTTATGTATTAAGCATCACTTCATAATTCTTTACATTCAATAAAATTTTGAGTGATACAAATAATGAGATTCTTTAAATGTTCAACTTCAACATAAACCAATCAAGAAGTATGTATAAATGCATATGAACTACTAAACAAAAAAGAAAATTTAATACTTTATAAAGGACTATAAGTTAAACAAAAGCTCTTCATTTCATTTACTTTTAACATTCCAATAAAAAACATATGACATTGTATTTTATCATGCAATATAAAAAAATTATATTATAAACGGACAAAGCTAGTTATGTAATAATCTTAAAAGGATATATGATAACATGACATCACATATAATCATCTTTCTCGACCAAATTTGTATTTACATCATCTCCATCAAGTGAGTGGTAATATTCATCGTTTTCCCCATCTTCATCTCCATCTCTCTGTCATTGGGATTTTCGTGAATTACCGTCTCTTCCTCTTTGTGATTCTTGATCTCAAGTTAAATCGCTCTTCATGAACTTTAGTAGTAGTCACAACGTGTCCCAAGTAAGACCTTCATCCTCTTCGAATAATAACTTCCCTTGAGCATCTTCATATGTCATTCCAATCAATCATTCATTGTTGTCGTCAATATTTTCAAAATTATTGGGTCAATTTTATTACGCAACTTGAATCATAAAATCAATGTTCGATTGTACTTGACGTACACCAAGTCATTTGGCCTAGATTATGCGAGTCTATTTCTCTTTTTTGTATGAATCTATGAGATAGTGAGAAAGGTTTATTCAGTTTATAATTATAAAAAACCCAAAAATTTAATATTACTAATTACATTAATTTAGTTAACGACAATGACTCGTACTCAAAAGTGCTTCAATTTCTCTCACAACCTGGTGTACTACAAGTAAGACTTAGAACTTTTATGGCAAATTATTATAAAGTAGTTGTTGAAGAACCATAACGTTTCCACCACTCAGCTGCAACATGAAAAACTAAAATTAGATGAATTGAAGTATATGATATATCACATATATATATATATATAAGTTAAATTTTCATTACCTGGAGTCTTAGACTTCGTATGTCTAATAGCCATTGAATTCCTAAACAATCCATGTGCTTTGCTTGTAAGTAGTGAGCTCTTTCATAATCTTATATTACTTGTCAAGTGACTAGTAGCTTGGAATGGATGATTTAGCTAGCATTCTCATCTATTGTCTATTATTTTAAAGACTTATTTCCATTAAATGAAGCTACAATAGCTTTTTTAGTACGATCCATAGTCTCATATATGTATCCCATGGCATGTTTTTTTTCTCTCCATCAACTTTTCATAGTGCACAAACTAAATTGGACCACTTAACTTCAATGCATATACAATACTATTACAAAAAAAAGACATCAAAATAATATTAGCAATTCTTTCCTTCGGGTTCCTTGGACCATTTTGATATCTCTTCGTTATGTGTTACTTGTGTGTTGATGAAAATGTGATAAAGGCAGTAGTAAATCTTGTCATCACAGGCCTTGACAAGTTTCTTTGTTTGGTGAATTGTCTCATCATATTCAAAATGATCTGGACGCTGATAAATGAAACTATTAATCTGAATTGCCTTCTTTAAGACCTTATTGATAACAAAAATAGCTTCAATATCTTCAAGAAGTAAATCAATACAGTGGGCTGCACAAGAAGTCTAATACAAATGTGGGTATTTTACCATCAAGAGTGCCCTAGACCTACAAAGTTGATTCCATTATCTGTTATAACTTGCGCAATATTACAAGCACTTACTTCATCCACAATTATACTTAGTAGTTCAAATAGCTTAGCAAAAGTCTTTGAATATTTTGATGCATCAATAGACTTGAGAACATGCTTCATTTTGAACAATCAACTAAAAAATTAATTTTGTCCTTCCACACGGACCAGTCCATCTATCCAAGATGATAGAAAATCTTATTTTCGCTCATTATTCTCTATGATTTTTCATAGTCTTATTGGTATTTGCAACTTTGTTCTTCAACAAAAAGACTCTTACTTCATAAGCACTTGGTAACTTCATTCTAATTCTAATTCTATTGATTGAATGAATTGTCACTTTAAAGTTAGGATGGGTGAGAGAATTAAAGGGAATCTTAGCATCACACATCCATTTAGCAAAATCAACACATACTTTCTCCCTTTGTTCTTTCTTATAGGTCTCATTAATAGTCATTTGCTATTGTTTGTCTAGGAGATTTAATAAAAACTTTCATTGTATAACTTATTTTGCCCTTTTAACATTTGAATTCATTGATGTTTTAACTATTTTCTCCTTTGGGTTAGATTTTACCAGTTACATTTCATCTTCTTTGTAACACCCAAACTCTAGGCTAGTAGTTTCAGGTTTACCCGAGATGTATGTGGACTTTGCAGAATTCTTGATTAAATCATTGGGTGAGGGACTTCATATCTACACCTTTGCACAGTTGACGGTAAATCCACCTAGAGTGTTTTTAGAATTATCATGGTAGGTTAAGGCATGCAGAGTATGAGGAAGAGTTGTTTGGGTGAGTCAAGGCATCTCAAGTGTGAGGACTTGTGTATCAGTAGATCTGTTTCAACCATTGGCTAAGAGAGCCAGAGATACACGATTAGAGAAGAGTGAAATCAGCTTTATCACTTCAACCGAGTCAGAGTTTAGATGTAAGGTCTCATAGGAGATTGCCAGCTTCGTAGTTCGTGCCGAGTGTTGAAAGCTCCAATGGAGTTTTGGATTATTCATTGTGTGAGAATTATGGCAGGAAGCATCGAGGAATATGTTTCAGACTCTCTAGGAAGTGCTATAGATGAGGATCCTTACAACATGTAGTTAGGGATTACCCTAGTTTGTATAGCAATGTCTCATCTCGATTTGGGGAAGCGACCTCAGTAATTCATCTCGATTTAGGGAAGGAACCTTTTGAATTTGTTCTGATGCATTCGTGTATGAACAATAAATGATTTAGCTAGGTGAGCCAAGCCTTATCCGTGATGTCTTCGTGTTGGTATTTGAGTGCGAGCTATATACAACACATAGTACTATGTAGCGTTGCGTAATACAGTGGATTTTAGTTTTTGAGGCTAAAAGATACCAAGTACTTTATGTGTTAATCAACTACCATTAGTTTTCATCGAATAGCACAGTGGTGATAAGTGATAGTGGTGCAAGACGTAGAATCATAGAATCTTTACGTCAGAGTGTGGTTACAAGGGATCTCCATTATTTGATGTGTTCTCTACAGGAGAGATAGATGTTGCTAGTTCCGTTCAACAAGTACTTATTTTCAGTTATGATTACCTTATATGTACAATCTAATAAGGAGCGCATATGTGAACTACAAGAGAAATAAGAAACAATTAAGTGGCGTTGATGAATATTGAATCAAAGTTGTGTAGCAAAAATGTCATAATGACATGTAGAGAGTTAGGAATCGTCATCATATCTTCAGTGGACGACATCGAGGTCATGTATGACAAGTGTTCGTAGGATCTCGACATGTAGTATGACAAGTTACCTAAGTTTAGTAAGTAAAGTAGATTTATAAGATGGTGTAGTATGTTAACTTGATTGAGTAGAGTTAGCTAGTGAAGGGTTAGCGATAGTGGTTGAATCATGGAGCAGTATTTTCCTTATAAAACATTCTGAGTTTTCAGTGTTAGGATGAATAAAGTAAGACTCTATGGTTCTGCGCTTCTCGAAGATTGTTGCTTAAGGTTTGAAGCATGTAGCGTCCTATAGAAAAGGGGTCATAGATCGATTTTGTGAGGTCTCAAGTTGCATGTCTTGTTGCTAGGTTTTCTTCCACAAGGATCAGACTTTATAAGAGATTAGGTTCTTCGAGGATTCAAAGTGTGTTTCCTAAGGATATGTTGTTATTTGATCCAAGTAAATTTAAATATCATTCATATTTGTCATTTTTTAACTAAGAAGATGAAGTATAATCGATTACGGCTTGACTCTCTAAGTCCCCAGTGTAGTCGTCAAGCTGTCGGAACGGTCTTTAAGCTTTTTAGGGCTATGGCGGGAATCGATCCAACTTAATCTTGAGAAAATGTTGGGTTTTAAAATAAATGTAAAAATAAATAAATTTGGAGTCGTCATCGAACTTTGGGTTAGGTAAGTCGAATACCTAAAACTACATTTTAAAATAATTTTAAGAAAAACATTTTTAAAAGATAAAAAAATGATATGTGTTTAACCAGAAATTCGTTTTGAAAAGGGTTTGAGAGTCGATTACATGTGGGGAAGGATTAACACCCTCACAACGCCTGAAATCGGTACCTAAGCGATTATACATCATCTAAATATTGAAATTGGAAAATTCGAATAACATTTAAATTATGATCCTTTTTAGAAAAATAAAAAGGGATATTATTTTGTACAAACAATCTTTTGAGAATACTTCCTAGTCAGTTAAGGGAGTATTTTTATGGATTCCTCGTACAAAATAGTATTACCCTAAATTTTAGATACAACAAATACATAAAAATAGAAAAAAACAAATTCATTTAAAACATTAAAGGTATTAGCAATCCTTAGAAACACACTCCTTGTCAGTTAATGGGTGTTTCTTCAAATTCCTCGAATAAAATAATATATGAAAGTATTTCGATTAACAAATAAATTTATAAATATGTAAGTAAAGGATTATAATAATAAATATGATAACTTTGGATTAAATTATAAAACTACAAGAGATTAAGGCAACCCATGTAAATATTTTATATGTTATACACTTCAATCGTAAATAAACCAATAACATTATTCAGAATTAAAAATTAAACTTAAGGATTAAACTGTAAAATAAGCAAAACTAATGGCCATAAACAAAAATAACACGCAAGAAAGGTACCAGAATTGTAGTTTAATCACTGCTAAATTTTAGGATCAAAATGGAAATCATTAAAATTTAAGGACTAAATAAGATATTTACCCAAAACACATGTAAATACTAGTAGTGATTTAATCATAAATATGGAAAAACAAAAGCTCAAAACAGAAATATAGAACTTTCATTAAATGACTAAAACATGAAGTTACAAAGCTCCAGGGACCTAAAATGTGATTAACCCACGTGAAAAAATGCTCTCACGTCCCTTGCTAAACGACGTCGTTTAGCTCAAGGTATAAATACCCATCAAACCGGCTTTTTGGCCCCCAAACCTATTTTTTCACTTTCTCTCTCTTCTTAATCTTAAAGAGAGAAATTCTCTATTCTCTTTTCCTTTTATGGTTATGGAGAACTCGGTCGAACGCCGTACATCGGCGCCGGGAACCACCATCCATGATGGTCAAAAAATTTAAAAACAAGCTAGAATGATCCTATCGTCCTCCAAAACTCGGATCTGACCTTGTTTTCACCCAAAAACACCCCCAAATTCCTAGATCTACAAAAAAGAAAACAATTGTAAAACGAAAGGTCTACCTTTCGTCACCGTTAAACCCACCGTCGGATGGAGGGATCTTAACTAGAGGGATCTTTGTTTTGGGGTTTATCGAAGGATTTTATTTATTTATTTTTAGTTTTGGTTTTTGGTTCATCTGCTTTGGTTATTGGTTTCTTTGTTGTTGATTTTATTTTCTGGTTGGTATTCTCTACTGTTGATGGTTGGTCAAATCCTTCTCTTTGTCGTCTTCTTCGAGTTCCTTTTATAGGACTCTTTAGATCACCCTTCGGAACGGTATGAGGGGAGGAGCCCTCTGAGTCACCAGGGCTATGACGGTTGCCGTCTTAGGGGCGACGCCAATTTTAGGTAGCTGGGGCATTTAATGCCCTAGATTTGTTTGATTTGGCCGGTGATATCAGCTCAAAAATAACAGCGGTGGTGATGGCTCGGATTGAGACAAAACCCTATATTCTTTAGATCTGGACCGTTAAATTGGTCCATATCTGACAATTCATATCTGTGCGACGCTTGGCTAGGGATATGTAACCCTAGTTCTGATCTCTTCTGGGTCGTTGGATTGGTTCAGATCTGACGGCTCAGATCCTTTGGCTGCTGGAAACAGAGATGGGAACCCTAGTTTTACTTGGGCTCCTACGTATGGGCTTCATTCCTTGGCCTTGAATGGGCTCACAAACCTGACCAGCTCACCTGTTGGGTCAGGCTTCTGAGCCTGGCTGGGCCTAGATGTCAGCCGGACTTTTGGACTTTGGACCATCTAATCTGGACCCGAACCCTGGACCTAAAATATAATAATAATAATAATAATAACAACGACTTGAAAAACATATATATATTTCATAATATAAACTCATACTATAATATATTTATTTCAATTTCAAAAAACTAGATTATTATATACTTATATTTATATTTGTCTTCAAACCATATGTTATATATTTCAAACACTATTTTATATATATATATATATATATATATTTCAAAACTATACTATACTCTATATATATTTCAAAACTATTTATTTTCAAAACTATACTATATATATATTTATTTTTCAAAACATATTTATTTTCAAAACTATACTATATATTTCAAAACTATACTATATATTTCAAAACTATATATAGTATACATATGTAACCAAAACAACACAAAACAAAAATAAACTAAACAAAAGGAAACTCTAGGATGAAAACACATGTCTACATCGATGATTCAATGTGTCACTTTAGGCCCATTCAGATTTGGTGTGTTACATTCGTCATCTAAATAATCCATTTGTTTTGATCATATTTATGATGGTCATGCACCAAATTCATCTTTTCTCGTTCTTATTTTTTTGAGGAAGTTTTCAGTCATCTCATATCTATGAATTCCATCTCTGGCAATGTTCGAGCAATACTTGTAGGTGATATTATTTGTGACTTTAAAATCAGTTAAATAATCATAATTCCAATCCAATCAGACTTTCTGATATTTTCCATATTTGTCTCACTCTGCCAATAAAAGAACAGTTGACCCATTTAGAAGATAACTAGTCATTGAAGAAAAATATTAAAATAATAATATCAATATTATTATGCTTACTTTACTTGCTATGATTGCAATAAGAAACTTTGAAATTGAAATGTTCATTATTGAGATAAGAAAATGACAACATATCAATATACAAAAATACATGCATTAACATCAAAATTTCTATTTCTTCACAAACTTTAATATTCCTTGTTTCAACACAGCCAGATTCATTTTCAGATCAACAATTATCACGTTCTGACTATTTTCATATTGGCGGTAATAAAATGATAAAAAGAAAGGCCTATAAGAGCATAAATAAAATAATTTTCTGAAGAGAAAGAAGCACCTGAGATGAAGCTGATACATTACTTTCTTTTTCAATAAGTTCTCTCTCTTTTTTTTTAGGGATAAGCTCCTTCTATTTCCCCATTTTTTTAACACTTGTTTGGACTGATACTCTCTTTACCATATTTTATTTTAACTCTTGGGTTGGGCTGAAAATAACTTAAACTGAATTAAATCGTGATAGAAATATAACTCGATTCCAGATTAATATAAATTCATTCCAATTTAATTAATATTTTATTAGCTAGAGTTTCTCTCGAATTTGAATAATTTCATTGTGAATTTTCAAGTCATGATAAAAAATAATTTGACCAAAGATTAATATGAATTAAAATAACTCATATTTGAAATAACTTTGCAGTGTATCAAGCAATCAATTTTAATTCAAACTTGAAAATTCGACAAGTTTAATTTAAATCTCAAAACTCGATGTAGTGATTTAAATTAAATCATGATAGAAATAACCGGTTAAAGATTAAATTTGAACATAAATTTAACTCAAATACACTAACATTCCATTATATCAAAACAATTAAATTTAGTTCAAATTTAAAAATTCAACCAAATTAATTTGAATTTAAATTTGACCCAATTTAAATGTTTGTATATATCGTAAGTTCATTGAAGTCGACTCATCTAGACCTAATTAAGCGCTTCACCCTCGTGTCACTGTAGCGTATACGAGCCTTAGCTACGCTTTTTCAAACACTGGAATAGAGTATTATTATTGGAGCATTATATTAGTTGGATCTTAGTTATTAAATTGTTAGATTTGCTTAGATAATCTGAGTTATATTAGGTACACTTTTTAGAGATATATTTTTAACTCATTATTTGTAATGGAGTTTCAATCCTCTTCAAGAAACTTTATTTATGAATTAATCCATTTCATTATCAACGGTTCTAATCAATTAAAAAATTCTCAAAATTTAACTTTCATAAAAAAGACTGACACAAATAATACTGATTTGAAAGAACATGTGGTAGATAGTAAAGATTATCTTATAATTTTTACAACGATTATGGTCACATTGTGTTTTAATGTTTGAAAAAGAAAAAAAATAGATACCTTTGTGACACTAAAATTATATGTACGAAAGATTTATATTATCCTAAACAAGGTTTAAAATAACTTGAAGGCGCTAATGACACAAAAAAGTAGAAACAAATTAGAAAATAGAATTAGGTGTCTAATGGTTAAATCCTTCTAAAATCACATATCCAAAACAATTGCAATAATTAACCGTCCCTTCAAAATGAATATGTCATTCAATTTTTTTTATCCACTTGAATAGTATAGAAGACGTTAGGTCTTCACTTGCTTTGATTGTGAAATGGTTGTCCTCGTACTTTAATCATCGTCAATTTTTTATTTGTTGACATAATTATAATAATTTCATCTCGTAATCACCAATTTTTACTCATATATTTGATACTATATAATTATTTTTGTCAATTATTACCAAAAAGTATAAAAAAGAAAAAGCAAAAGTCAAAAGAAGGGATAAAAATCCCAAGCCCCGGTTGCTGTACTCTGCCCAAAGGAGTTTGCGCCACCTACATGGACGTGATTCACGTGATGACCTTGCCAAGATCAGCATCAAACCCGTCAACGCCTACCTCTTCCAACATACCTCTCCACAACTCCGCATGAGAAGCCACGTCAACATCAGTGGTCCCAAACGCACCAAGCTTTGCTCCAACGTTCCACGACAGCCCCAAAGTCCATATAAGATTCGAGCCATGCAACACAAGAAGACAAAAACAGAAATTGTAAAACTATTTTCATTTTTTTAGATTATGGGAATGAGAACTTATGCTGTGCAGCGTCTAAAAAACGGTTAAAAAACGGCGTGATCGGTTAAAATTTAGACCAGTTATGTTATATCATTTAACCGGAAATATTATTAAGTACAATAATATATTAGGTAGCGCTTATATAATGTAATAGATAGCGCTTATATAATGTAATAGGTAGCACTTATATTGATCTATTTTATAAGTAAACCGGTATATTTATATCGATAACATTGCAAATTTACCTATTACATTATAATTATCGGTTTCGATGTTTTTGGATCGGTACAATTTTAAATGTATCGACACTTTATGCGTGCACCTCGTTGGGTATTCATTCTGGAAACAATTTAGGCCTATTTTTTCATAAAACCGGTATATTTCTATCGGGTACATTGTAAATTTACCTATCACATTGTAATTATCGATTTCGATATTTTTGGGATCGATACTTTTAATAAATGTATCGACACTTTATGCATGCACCCGTTTGGCATTCATTATGGACAAAATGTATCGAAACAAATTTAATAAGTGTCGATACTTTATGATGACCTATTTTCTCATAAAACCGGTATATTTATACCGGTTACATTGTAAATTTACATATTACATTATAATTATCGGTTTCAATTTTATTGGGATCGATGCTTTTAATAATTGTATCGAAACTTTATGCGTGCACCTCGTTTGGGCATTCATTCTGGACAATAAGTATCGACACAAATTACACAAGTGTCGATACATTATGTTGACCTGTTTTCTAATTAACCGATATATTTATATCGGTTATATTGTTAATTTACCTATTACATTATAATTATTGGTTTCGATGTTTGTTGGGTCGATACTTTTAGAAAATGTATCGACACATATTTAGGTAGTTATTGTACACACCTAAATATGTCACACGAATTTAATGTTGTACCCGCCCTTCAACTACCACTACCAATACCACATCCTATTGAAAGCACGACTGAAACATGTTGAATGAACCTTTACTTACATCTCCATCAACTCCGGGACCACTGAACTTGCACAACAATTTTTTTGCCATGGATCATACTGATGCAGACAATGTTAAGCCAACCGAGGAATGCCATGAAGTACATAATGTTGATGAATCTGACAGATTGATTGGTCAGCTATTCTCTTCACGTGATCAAGCTTGATACTTTTACAAGGGCATTCAATGTGGTCACCATTTTGGGCATTCAATGCGTTCACCATTTTGGGCATTCATTCCGGACAAAAGTATCGACACAACATTCAAAAGTGTCGACACATTATGTAGACCTATTCTTACATAAAACCGGTATATTTATATCGATTATATTACAAAATTACCTTTTACATTACAATTATGGGTTTCGATGTTTTTGGGATCGATACTTTTTAAACATGTATCGACACTTTATGGGTGCACCTTTTTGGGCATTCCTTCTGGACAAATAGTATCGACACAAATTCCTGAAGTTTCGATACATTATGTAGACCTATTCTCTCATAAAACCGGTTTAGTTATACCAGATACATTGTAAATTTACCTATTACATTATATTTATGAATTTCGATGTTTCTAGATAGATACTTTTTAAAACTGTATCGACACTTTATGGGAAACTTTAAGTTTGAAAACTTTATGTGTCGATATATGTTTGTAAGTTACCGATATTTCTAAGTATGAAAACTTTGTTGTGGAGATTATAGAAAACGATTCTTTAATAATGTGTTTCGATACATTTGCACGCAGATGTAAAATACATTAATAACTAGTATTGATATTTCAACAATCCTCAAATGTATCTATATACAGAGAAGCAAATATGGAATAATCAATGATAACATGCATATTAGCTAAGTTAATAAGTTTTGAAAAATGTAAGTTGTTACCTTATAAATGAAATTGCATAATTGATTCATACTGTTCAAGTAACATACGTTACGAACCATCAAGCGGGTAAAAGACAATATTGATTTCAAAGCTGAGTTGTGTGTTGATGGGGTTGTCACACTTGTCACATGGAAGTGATAGATAGATTGTTTTGTT